CAGGAGTCACAAACGCGTTGGCGGCCTGTTATATATATATTTTATATTATTATATATTTATATATATATATATATATATATTATTATATATATATATATATATATATATATATATATAAAGTATGTAAACCGTCTAGAATTACTAAACTTTAATAAAATCGGTTCAAACTTTTCTATTTGAAAAATATATTTTTTAAGCCGGTCTAGCCGTGGTCTAGCCGTTATTATGTTATTATGAAGACACTCTTTACGTAAATATCAGTCAGTGAAGTCAGTATCCCGTCAGTCCATTTACTCTCAAATTGACGTGCGAAAGGACGTTTCTGCTTTCGCCACGCTAAAGCCTATCATAACATTTATATTTAGATTTCACCTACGTCAATTTCAATTTATTTAAATACCTGCGCACAGCACACATGGAATACGTTTCATGTAGAACAGTATTTTAAGGCGTATATCTCATATTATTCGTGTGGTGACGGATTACGGAATGTCATCACACCTATTTATCTAAGGGAGCAAAGGACTAAGGGAGCAAACTACGCAGGACAACTGCAAAGAGAAGGAAAACTTGACACAAACCCTATACTAAACGGTCTGGCCAGCGTGGTATAGCAGGCCAAAACCTCCTTTCTAAGATGAGGCCTATGTCCAGCACTGGATTATTATAGGCTGCTGACGTGATGTGATGTGATATCTCATATAATTTTGTACCGAGTTCCAAAATAGGAGAACGCTCTATATTTCATTGTAGTATTGTTTTTGTGTATGTTACCAGAATAGTATTACTATCAGTTATTAATTATCATAATTCAAAGACAGCTTTCCTTTTAGCAATTTTTTTTCTTCATGGCGTAAATTGTCTAGTCGGTGCACTTTTTACCAGTTCAAGGTCTGATCATGAGATCTTGAAGAAATTAATGTTTTTTTCTTAAGTTATTGGCCTACTTATAGCGGTTTGAGTATTTAAACACCTCAGTACACTTCCTCGTTTTTGGTGGTAGCGTTTTCTAACTCACAGTAAATACTCTTTATTAAAAGAACGTTGTTAGTAAAAACTACCCTTAACAAGGGGTGCAAGTTTGTATGGAGAATATACCTATAACATTGATTCATTGTATACTCTACGATGTCTGTTTTCGACCACACACAAGAACACACAAAAGCTAGTACATACATATTATAGATACTCGTAAATTACACACACACACACACTCGCCTGGGTGGGAATAGAACCCACAACTTCTAACTTAGCAGTCAGGATCACTAATTAATATGGCAATAGGCCCGTCTGGTTAGTAATACATGTAGTTACACAGGTACAATACATTATTCTTAAATTTGCGCCTCTGTTTATTTTATTTTTTTGAAGACAACTCCCGCACTAGGAATATATCCTGTGTTGCGGACAACTTGTGGATCACACAAAGTGTCGTCCCATGTGGGTATCGAACCAAACTAAGCCATCCGTCAAACTACCATGAGTAAATAAAAATGACAGTATAAGTATAAAATAATGTAACATGATTATGTCAAGCTAATTTGCATATTTGCATGGGCATAAAACAACAGCCGAGCGCATTTCTGATTCCAATCTGAATATGCAAACCACATTGTCTATGAATAAATTTTACTGAGTTCCTTTTAAGCCGGCTCCTCCGTGCATTTGAAGATGCTTCAATAATCCGCTTACGTAGCAATTGCAATATGAACATTCTATAAAAGACTATTTTGTAAAATTAACAATTGACAGATTTGGCTTTGATGTAAGTGAGATTACAGAGTTTAGGTTTATTTGCAAGATCTGTTTATATTTTCTTGGGCTTTTTATAGGTACTGAATAAATATTTTTTGAGGCTTCTTATGATCAATACGTTAAAAATACCATGTGGTATTCTTTCTCATTTGATGCATTTCAATGGTTAAACAAATTAAAGAAAATGCAAAAGTGTATTGATGTGCAGTTTCACTGAAATATCATGATAAAATTGAAAAATTTACATATTATTATCTAATTATTTATTAAATCATGGGGCATACTATATAGTAGTACCTGGATGACCGAGCTTTGCTCGGTATTTTTTTTGGTAAATTAAAAATGAAACCTAGCTAGATCGATTAATCGCCCCTGAAACCCCCTGCATACTAAATTTCATGAAAATCGTTGGAGCTGTTTCCGAGATTCAGATTATATATATTTATACATACATATATACAAGAATTGCTCATTTAAAGGTACCAGATTTGAATTAAAAAATATCATTTGGATATAGCAACTCAACCAACAAGGTCACAACATCCATCCGCATTAACGTTTGTTTTATGTAAATTATCTTAAACTATAAATATTTACCTCTTAAGTATTTGTTCAATAGTTGTATATCTGCGACGGTGACTAAGCAAGCGCTCATGTGAGTACTAGTTTAATGGATGATCGGAACTAGAAGGAAATTTTGGTATCTGATACTTCTTATGGTTCAAGCACCACATAACAGTAACTAGAGGTCCTAGTTTAACTGTTCTACGTTACGTTAAGCACTAAAAAATATTTTTTGCAAACTTTAACCCTAACGGGGTAAAACAATAGATGGACGGCTGAATGATAGTTCGTAATTTTCAAAGTAAGAAAAGCGACATAAACCCGCATGCAAAGTTATAGGTGGAAGTTTACGAATATCTGGTATACACTAAAATAAACTATAAATAGACTGGGCGACTTGCACATTTATCGATGACGTAGAGTTAGTTTGTTGCTTGTTTGCAATGTCAACAGTTGGGCACGTTCAGAAGTTTTATACCAATAACACTACCACTTGTGTTGATTGGGCTAGAGAACACGATAGAGGACTAAGCATAAACGAACATAAATAAATCCGAAAGCGGTGAAAATTCTAGTTAATTTCGAACGCTGGTTTCGACGCTAGTTTTGCGATTATTGGCAGAGATTATCAGAATAATGGAACTTATCTATCTTTAATTAATAGCAAAATTATATCATAGAAAATCAAAAATTTGTCATACTTTTTATGCTTGTTATCTTCTGTAGAATTCCCGTAATACCATGCTTGATGTACTTATTTTTATCTTTGAATTCATAAACATATTAGTATGTTTGCAATACATTGACATATACAAAAAAGCCCTGTATCTGTAACTGGGTAACTGTAGCTGTAACACGTTTTAAATCGATTAACCATAAACGGGTAATAAGAAAGCGTCAAAAAGATTGATGTAGCCAAAAGCGGCCTGAAGGCTTTCTAAAGCACCCCGAACGTTAAGGGTTAATAATGAGACCCTCTCAGTGCCATGATGTAATCTTAATTCTGAAAAAGTACCCCAATATTTCTACCTGAAGCATTTAGGTTTACTGTAACGTGCGTAAGCAAAAGATGGAGAAACTACACCTTTCTTGGAACTCTCGTATAAAAATTTGAATTTTTGACAAATCTCAAACAAATCTATGCTAATCATACTTTATTCTTATTAATTTTGATGTTATCTACAAAATCAGTTTAAATTTAAACATATTCTCAGTGTCAAGAGACATGGTTCCGAAGACGTAGACTCTTTTCACAGATTGGAGGAGTTGAATATTCAAAAATTGTCTCTTGGCGAATAACTGCTGTCTTATCTACCTGCCAAATTAAAAGTAATGTAGCATTCATTATTTTTAAACCTTATTAATTAACGTAAAGATTGAAAGTAACGATGTTCAAAATATTAGGATAAGCCCGAAGAAGTCTTGATAAGGAGCTTTGCTGGATCCTATTGGCGTGAAACGCTTTTAATGCCCATGTAATGAAAAACCTGTTTTCTTAACAGGCTTTTTCATAGATTTAGGTCGAAGTCTAATCAGTGAATCGAATACAGCTACTTCTACTAAGTAGATCTAAATCTTTTGTACACGTACTATATTATTTATAAAAAGCGATATACTATTTTTTCAATGCTTGTTTAACTTACTTACGGTACGATATTAAATCACTCTCATTACAGAGTTACAAATAAAAAAATTGGTTGCCTGTAAAGTCGGTATACGGGCGAAAGTTTTACGTGACAACGACTTTGAGTGGTAAAATAATTTTAATGTGAATATTCATTCGTATAGTAGGAAGAAGGATGAAATAATAGTAACAATTTAAAACATTTATTTATACAAAGAATTATATTTAAAAAAGGGACGCGTGCCTTTCACTTTTTATGTCTGTCTCTCTCGCTCTTAGGCGGGCTAACCATGCCCGAGTGGAAGGGACGCGTGCCTCTCACTCGCTCTCATTGTGAGCGCATAACGTGAGCGGAGCGTAACGCAGTTTCTTGAAGTGTCACCCGGCAAACCAATTTATAAGACGTTGTCACGTCAAAACATAAATCGTTCAGTTTTTATCTTTTTTTTAAATAAAAAATAAACAACGATATAAACTACCTATAACGTAAAAGTGAACACCAGTGATTTAGAAATAGATTTCATTCCTTTGAAAAAAAATTAGCTTTTAGATGAGATTTGAATTTTAATTGATGAATTAAATCATTTATTAACGTTTCTCGTTAGAGGTTTGGTCAAGCGAGGTCGCGAAGTTTCGGCGATAAGTTTTTCGTAGAAGCGCGCATTTGTTGTTAAGTAATTCGAATTGGCGAATTAGAGATTTGATTTATTAAAGAACGCATGGTTACGGGTTAAGTTTTTCGTTGTAGCGTGCATTCGTTGTTAAGTGTTTTGTATTAGTAACCTTACGGGGACGAGGTGTTACACTGTTCTAAGCCAGGTACTTAATGTAGACGAAGCGTCAAACCAAAGATATATAATACCTTTGGATTGCCTGACGCTGCGTCTACGTGATTTTCATCATATTAGAGTCATACTGTATTGAGAACTTAAAAAAAACAATATTTATTTATTTAAAGTTCATATTTTGTTCTTAACAAGAAACATATTACCTAAATAATAACGTGAGTATATTAACAACTAAAATTACTGCAAAGGTATTAACATTGAAAACTAATTACTTCTTCACTATGTATTCTATAGGCCACAGCACAAGACAGGGTACGCAGCAAACTGTTAATGCGTAGAAGGCAGGAACGTAATCGTGATAGACATCTTTTAATAGTCCTGCAAAAGAAGAAAAAAAATTGTGTACCATAAATACTCATCATTTTTCCACCCGTTTTTCAATTTAAGGCCTGTGGAGTTCGATGAGTCCGAGGCCACATGTCTGTATTTCTGTCGTGTGTTTGGACAAGGACTCATGTCATAATATTTACTGTTGACTACTTGCCTTTATTAGGGGACATTAGGCCACTATTCAAGTAGTCGACAGTAGAAGTCGGACCTAATTTATTTTTGACTTTTAATATAAGAGTAGGTACCTACATCACACAAGAAAACATCTACTGAAAGCCAATTTTTATTGTACAAAGAAATATTTTATTGTTTAGATTTAACAATCCTTTAAACGGCAATCACAATAATATGTAGGTATTTGAATGGAATTAATCAAAACTGTTTTGTGTTTATGTTAGACGGGGCAGATGAGCAGACGGGTCACCTGATGGAAGGTTATTGTCTCGAAGGTTTGAAGGTCGTATCGGTGCGGAAATACCGCAGACGATAACCCGTTCCACAGATTGGTTGTGCGAGGCAAAAAGTGTCTCGAAAAGCGCACAGTAGTGGAACGCCAAATATCGAGGTGCCTGTATTTTATTGATTTACCATCTGAGTTTATATTGCACTTTTTTGGTTCGACTATTAAATTACGTAGACGCTACAGCAGCTTAGAGGTTCCTTACATAATACTGTTTAGTGGCTATTTTTACTATATTTATTAGGTATATTATTATATTACTTACCAATTAGTGGAGAAAATGCAACATTGACGGTACCAGTGGCAAGCATAGAGAGGGCGTATGCACCGGGGAAGTCTTTGTGTTCGACATGATTTGAGATTAGTAAAGGACTGGTCACATGAAGCCAGGCTCGGAGTACCCCCAAAATACCCGTCACTGTCGCCATCCATGTGTACTCCGTGATTTGTAGCATCACTGTAAAAATAGATTTATCATTTGACTATTTTAAATGCTATTTTTATTTTAATTCAATTGAAAAATCAAAATTCTTTTTTCTCTTCATTTTTATTGTAATACGATTTTGATCTACTAATCATTTATTATTCGTTAAAATTTTGTATTCTAAATAAGTCTCTTTTGCAGAGAGATTTTAAATTCAAATATTTCGCCGCCATTTGTATGTATTTATTCGTTTGATGTATTCTTATTAGGAAACAACAGATTTTGGTGTAAAGACTATTTTAATTCATTCTATTGTATTGTTAACAATTATTTTCTAAGTTACACGTGTTTTTGACTAGATTCAATTAAAATCTTTGAGTCAGGATAAACCAACTTATTTTGCTTTTGGAAAAAGTAGCATTGGTTCCATCTATTCAATTGAAATACCAACATAATTCACCCACACAACGAATATTTCATAGAAGATAGAATCTCTATCTTTTTGAAGTAGCTTAAAATCTTCCTAACACATATTAAATAAACCCAGATAGTAATATTTCTATACATTACTACAACGAGAAAATATAATTATCTCTCAACAATGTTTTACATACCTATTCTGATAAAGAATGTAAACAAGGTTGCGATGTAAAACAAGCATCTCGTATTTACATTTGCCATACTGCTTATTAGGGCTAAAATACAACGACCAATGAGATCCGCAGCTGCGCCAATAGAGATACACACAGCTATATCAGTCTAAAACATAAAAACATCAAAACAATTCATGAAAAAACTAACTATACAGACAAATTACTATCAATAGTATTTTTTCCATTGTTTTTAGTTAATATTCTTATATACACGTGTGAGTAATTTTTAAGTTCGCGAGAATCTACATGGAATTTTTCTAGTGATGTGAAATCACATACCACATAGTCTTTAGTCAAATCACATAGTTCTAACATCATTCCGATCCATCATCACATTCTTCACTCCGATGCCATTTGCCCAGTACTCATTTTATTGGAATTTTCTCTCTGGACTATCAACATTGTTTGCAATTTTACCTCTTTAAGTTTTACAGAACACAAATTACTCTTTATGTAGTCTGTCCTTGAAGTTAACTCAATGGGTTTTCAAAACACCCATTTGTCAAAATTCTCTTTAAAATTATTTGTCGCACAATCTTCTAATACTTTCTTTCACAAGTTTCTAATACTTTCTGGCTATTTTTTGTTTTTTTCTAAATTGGTGATTAATTTTTCAATTTGACATATGGCAAAGAGGCAACTAAAATCATTTTCAATATATAACTACAAAAAGAGTCGTGCAGACTGTAGATACAAGTAGGCGGTGCGTCCTGCGACTTACGTCATACTCTGATTGTTACAAACAGTTATTGTGAACAGTAATAAAAATCAAAATGAATCCTCAAGTGGTCTCAAATTTGTGTCGACAATGAAAGTATGTAACACAAAGGGCGATTCAAACTTATCCATTTTTGATAATAAAATATTTAAAGAGGCTTTTTTTTTAATATTAAAAGAAGGTGGAGGCAAATTACTACCTATTAAAATAACATTGATAACTAATTTTTTATTTTGATCACGATAACGTTAAGAGTAAATAATGATATTCATAACTTATTTCCTCACTTTGTACGTAGGCAGATAGGTTTATTGTGTTGTGTATTTAAGTGACATTTATAAGATTTGTTTTCTGTATGTGTATATTTCTGATTTCAACGATGTCAATTTTATCGATTTAGAAACTAGAATGTAACAATATTACCTTTTTATATCCATATTGAAATAATAACATCGGCTGTAGCATGAAGAATGTTAAATCTGAGAAATTCACAAAACTTTGACCAATGCAAATATTACAGAAAATAATATCCCTTAGAATCTTCACGTTCAGAACATCCATCAGGTTATCACTGAAAATGAAAAAAATAAAGACCATCAACATCATCATCAACCATAAGCAATATATTGAATTGGAAGGTATATGTTAATATTTATGAAGGTGTAATTTAATATGCTAATAAATACTTGTATCATCATCAGCCTATCGCAGTCCACTGCTGGACATAGGCCTCTCCCATTGCACGCCACTTAGATCGATTTTGGGCTTAAATACTTGTAAGTAGCCATCTAAATATGAGTCTTCTGTCTGCAGAATTCTACAATTCGCTGAGTACGATTTGCTACCCAGTTTATTTCAGTCCCTGTAATATTGGTTCTTCATTCCGTTTGATACACCTTCTACACGGCTTATTCTATTGATGATGACAATAGAATTAGGAGTACACTTAGATACCGTAAGTGATGATGATGACGACGAAGAAGGGTCAACTCTATTTTTTTCAGCCGACCAGGCATTATCAGGCATTAACAATTAAATGTAAGGTATAAAATTATTACAATAATATTATATTGTTTGACTGGCAATAGATGGACTGCATAATTTTGGTTGTATCGAAGTTCCTATTTTACTAATGTATGAAAATCTCTTAGTCTATGAAAATAAGAAATTACTTTAAATAATGTAATTATAAATTGCTAGCTTTTCCTGCGGCTCCATGAAGCCTATGTCTTTCCTCAAGAATCGAAATATCTCCATACGAAATCTCATCTAAATCAGTTCAGTGGTTATTAGCTCCTAATGCAAACTTCCACCCCCCTTTTCACCCCCTGAAATGATGATTTCTAGGATAAAAACTATGCTATGTTTTTTCCCGGGACTCAAAATATCTCTATACCAAAATTTCAGCAGTTTAAGGGTGAAGAGTGAACAGACAGACAGATAGACACACTTTGGCATTTATAATATTGGATAATACGCTATGATGTAATAGAATTTACTTGTACAAACTTAGAATTTTAATAAGATTTACATAAGTATAACTTAAACCTCACAAAATTCTTACAGGAAAACCTTGTATTTTCGTTATTCTGAATAAAATGCTTACTCGCTTAAGATGCGTTCTTGGCTTAGTTACTTTGATAAAACACCTATTATAATGCAATGAAAAATATGGCAATTAATTATATTCACCTTATTTTCTGACAAAGCGTCTTATTCGCATTAACGACCACCTCATTATTATTGTTGATACATAAAAGATCCTCAACTTCGTTGCTAGTTATTCCATTTTCTATGTTATCCCCTATAAAACACAAAATAAATCAATTTTCAAAACCATTGAGTAGCTACAAACAAACTTGCCAAACAAAAAATACTTGCTATTTTTCTTGGTTTTACATCTTCAGTTTGCATAGTCAGCATTCCTGGGTATACATGTAAAGAAATGCCTGCCACAACCAACAATGTTCCTCTGAATCCGTAAGTAGATATCATGTTCTTTATGAGCTGTGGATACCACATTAAAAGTATTCCTTGCGCTGCCTTACAGAGGCTCATCACTGTGGTTCTCTTCTTTACAAAATAGTAATTTAAAGTTGAGTAACACACAGGCACGACTAATCCGAATCCAATTCCTTGAAGAATTCCAAAAGTGAATAGAAGTTGATTTGTATTTGTAATAAATATAGTTAAGAACGATCCTATGGTTAACAACGTAGCTCCAATGAGGCCCCCCGTTCTTAATGGTCTTTTTTTGTTTATATTGTTGAGAATTATACCTGTAAGTTACAAACATGTGACTGTTTTATTACAAGATAACGACAATTACGAGTACAATATTTACTATAGCTTTATAGTTGCCTAAGCCTCCATAAATTACAATAATGATAATATTCTGTATATACAACTTAAGAATATTATATCTATATGAAGAGCAGTAGCATTTCTTACTTCAATTTAGATATTTTAGTAAAGGGTACTACTACGTAATAGTATTTACCTCCAATTGCTAACATAATAGAGAATACGCCATACGCAGAAGTTAAGGATTTTGCAGTAGAATTGGTATCATTCATGAAATCATGGTAGATTAATCCAAAAGAGTTTACATGTCCGATACCTGCAATCTGTTAAAAAAGAAATCTGATAAAGTATTTAACGTAATAGATGTTTAACTGGATGGTATTTGTCTGTGCTAGTTATTGATTAAAATTTAATGATGGTAGTAGTGAATCTAACAAGCTGGCTTGAAGCTAAATTCTAATACTTGTATATGCAAAATAACATCTTTTAGGACTCAAGTCATTTAAAAGTAACCCATATTTTCGTGTTAATTCACACTATTAGATTACCGTCAATAATGAGTTCATCAAAATCAAATAGAATAATCGGTTAGTGTTAACACAGACAAACAAATACAATTGTTCAGACCTTGGTCTTGCCAATATCATACCGGCCTCCTTTTTGTTTGGCGGTTGGCTAGCGCTTCATACTATACGAGTGAATAGCTCATTTCAAATGCGAGATGTTAAAATCACATGCCGAAAAAAACTGCTGCCCGGTGTTAGCATCAATATAAAATTGGCTTAAAAATGCATGATATAATGTAAATATTAACAAATAAATGTATTTTTTGCTTAGTCTCCTACTTTTCCGTTGAGTACGTACAGTGTTGTTCAGAACCCGAACCATCGATGCCACACTATGGCGGTACACATCCGTATACGTATTTCTAAGTTTGCTCATAAAGGTTAAATGAGTAGTTAAGTTTACGTTAAATAGTAATAAAGTAAAACTATTTTCAATCGAGAATACAATTTTAATAGTTGAGAGACAATCAAAACCATTTCATTTTTTTTTGTTTACGATAGATGATGATAAATAAAAATAAAGAAAAGGTGAATAACCTATGAACAAATATTTTAGTCTCAGAGGCATGCTAAGAAACGAACTAAATTCTCTCAAGTTTTCTAAATAAAATATTTTTATTTCTAGTATTTACTAATTATAGACACTGGCTTAAAACAAAGCAAATTAATACACGACACTTCTATTTTAAACATGAACATCGACCATTGTTACTTACTACGCTTCATAACGACCATCAAAATGAAAAAATCAGTACTTACAAAGGTTATCACTGTACCCAATCCAACCAGGTATCCCCATGCGTTCCCTTCAGTTTTTTTCTTCTCCATATTTTCCGTATTTGTTATTCTATATATTATAGAATATCACAACACCACTATCTAGTTGGGTCGTACAGACACTGGCCGGACGCGACCGATAAATAACTATTATATCGAGTAAGTAAGCATAAGGGCCGTTGCACATAGCCCGTTTTTTATTTGTCAGATATCCTTAACGATTATTTTATTAAAGCAATGAATTATTGATTTAAAATAAAGTCAAGTTTGGTAAACGTATTTCCTGCATAGCCGTTGTTTCGCTACCACTATGTATTGTTCTGATACTGAGTTAGCAATATTTCTTCTTGTATCAGTATTAGGCGTTATTGTGGCAATATTTTCCAAGTAAGACATCCAGTGTTACTTCAAAACCATGAACACAATGTGACTAATAATTCTGTTTATAAATAAAAGACAACCAAGACAAGATTTATAGACTCCACAGTCTCACAGTCAAAGATCAACAGTTTATAAATGGGTGCTCTCACAAATTTTCTATGTAATGAAAATTGATCGTACATAAATATCACAAGACATTCCCTGTAGATTACATTCTTCAATGCAAGTCCCAAACTTAAGAAAGTAATGTAACAAAGAGATTATTATTGATAACGAACATCGGCTAGACGACTTGAAATTAAATATGTACATCCTTCATTCATTTCTTCTGATCCCAAGCATCTTTTAAGCAAGTTTACAAAGTTAAATATAGGTCTTATTACGTAACTAATGTTTAATTTTATATTTCAATTCGACAAACTTCCTTTCAAAACTTCTTTAATAAAAATTTCTTTACGGTAGAGATCAAGTATATATTTTCAATTTTTTTCACTTTAGCTCTTGAAGTATTTTTATTATTAACTTAATTTATATTTCTTAAATCTTAAAGTTTTATATGATCACAATAGTTATTATTTTCATAGCATGTTTGAAATCAGCTTTGTTTCATGTTTGTAAAAATTAGTCATTTTGTAGCAGGACTAAGAAAATGTCGTTGATCGAGGTATTTTCAATATATTCATACAATTTTGACAATAACAGTCTTATCGCCATATTATTTGGCTTAATTTACTTCCTAATTTAGTTTATTTTCTTAATTTTTGAGAACTGGATTTTTAATCTAAGTAGATCATAGCTTGTTTTGTTTGAGTTGAATTGATACGTTTTATTAATTTTATAAGATATTTCTATTTTACAGTTTAATAAAGACTCTAAAAGTTTTTTTTGCGATTCAAACCATTATGAATTATTTATTATGTCTTGTTGATAAAAGGTCTTGTTACACTGAGGTCAGTGGGATCACACAGCACAAACAGCCATAGATCGCGGTCGAAAGAAAACGGGTACATATATCACGTAAACTGTGCATTAATAATAATAATAATATTTGGATTTATCTCACGAGATTGTCGATATGTGGAATGTCGATTCAGTGATCATTTTTCCGATAGTCGTATCTGCTCACGGATTGATAACCAAGAGCCTCGACCAACACCTTAAGAGGCTCACGTTGGACAGCTGGATCAAGGGTCTGATGCAGAAGGCAGTCTTCCTTGACACGGGTCGTATAGTGAGGAGGTTCCTATCATTGGAGTCCTAACCACCGGTGTCCTGCTCCCTGTACCCGATATCGGTGGTCTACTATTTTTTATATTTTTAAATGTATTTTTATTTATTTTGTAATATATTTAAAAATGTAATTAATATGTATTTTTAATTCAATAAAGAGAATAATAATAATATTTTCACACATCTCACACAGGGCCGTCTGATCCCAAACTAGGCAGAGCCTGTACTATGGTAACCAGACTGCTGATAAACATATTTAAATACTTCTAAATACATTCATATTTTAGATAAAGTACACCCAGACACAGAACAAATGACCGTGCTCATCACAAAATTATTTGTCCTGGGTGGAAATTGAACCCACGACCTCTGGCGTAGCATTCAGGGTCACTAATCACTAGACCAACAGGTCAGTCAAACTTTAGCAGCATTACTTTGCATTATTTATTTAATTTATAACTTTATGCACAAATATATGCATCGGCGGACTTACTACTTAAAGCATCCTCCGCCGGTCAACCGATTGGCCGATGTAGAGAAAGAATGAGGTAGACACCTATGGGGAGGTAAGAAATGATAGAGGATTTATTAAATACTAGGAGGTCGAATAATTTTTAATTATGTTTAAATTAATCTCATTCAAGTCGTATGATTAAAGGTAATAATTAGCAATAAGTACCTTCTTTTATAAATATTGCGACTTTTAATCGCATTCCGTTGTGTCGTCTAGGCGACACAAATAAACACTGCCCTTTACACGTGCGCACACGTAGATAATGTTTCTTTGTCCGTGCTCACGCGCAATTGTCATGCATATATATACATATTTATTGGTAAAGAAAACCTGGATATAAAAATAAAGACGTTTATTTATATAATAATTAAGACGTTCGGTATATAAATTTAGGATTAGAAAGTTACTTTTAAAGATTATTTTTTCTTTTCATACAAAAATATTTAGCTAAGTATATATATACAGTCAAGAAAAAAAAAAGGTTTAGGGTAGTTACAGCATCATAGGTTGGTTCTCATAAAAAATATAACTACCAAAAAAAATAGTTTTTTAACCGCCAAAAGTTGTGATATCTGATACCTATACTCTGTTCTTTCCTAGTTTGTTTATTTACAATATTTTTTTTACGGACAGCATCAGTATATGATCATCTTTATATCATCAACAAATGCAATGTCTTTTGCAATTACATACACTAATAGAATCGACATACAATAAAAATTGGCCTAAATTATTTAAAGTAAGTATTTGTTTGTGTGCGCCCAAATTTGGCTCACTGTTGCCATGTAAAAATGCAAATAACGAAAATATGATTACTTCTTTACGTTGTTGCTATATTTATTTTGTATCTTATCACTGATAATTTTATTGCTGATTTATCAGCGATAATACTCCTTAGAAACTAGGCAAATAACATATTGAAGAAATGATGCATCCGCAGAGACTAAGAGTACAATTTAAAGTGTATTACTACTAAAATTATTTATTACTATTATGTGCTATAAAAATGCATGTGAAATAAAAGTTTGTGACGTATGAGAGCTGATTCAAACGCTTGATTGGTCTAGGTCAAAAGGGATATTCGTAGTTCTACAAGTGCATTACACCAAAGATAGCGGGTATCGGCCACACGCAGTCTATAATTTAGAGATATACCTATATTTTCACGAGGTATGTAAAATATATCTTACCGAGTGTACCTTCATTAAAGAATTGAAAACCTAAATTGTAGTGTTTTGAAATAATAGGTCACCAGACCTTGCACCTTGCACTTGTGTTTTGAAATAATACTCACCAGACCTTGCACCTACCGACTATTACTTTTTCCAAAATTTAGACAACTTTTTAGTGGGTAAAAAATTCAATTCCCGAGAGGCAGTACAAAATGCCTTTGAAGAGTTTATTGCCTCCCGTCCAGCTGATTTTTACAAGAAGGGCATCAATAAACTGCCAATGCGTTGGCAAAGATGCGTCGATTGCATGGGTGATTACTTCGAATAACAGAAATAAAAATGTTTGAAAAAATAAATACTTTCACTTATTGCATACAAAACGGCAATTTCATAGGTAAAGACCTAATATAATAAGTAAATATCCATGAACACAATACTGATACGATGCTAGTGTGCAGCACATGTAAGGTACATTCCAACACGGGCGCAAGTTCGAAGATCTTTAGGAGACGAGAATTGAAATTCGTTTTCATGATTAGTAGTATCAGTTTTGTGATTGCTATTTATTTTGTGATAAAAGTCATTAAAGTTTACACAGAAAAACTAAACTAAAATGAAAAAAGTTTATCATTTCTTTGTGAATTTATTGTTAACAGTTTCTTTTTATAACATTACTAAACAAACATAATAGAAACACAGTTTTACGTATAAAGTACGTACCTAAAACATGAAATATTAATTTAATCCTAAACAGTCGAATTTTACCTTATCTCTAACCAATCATAAATCAAGATAAATTAAAAATAATGCGCATTTCATATTAAGCAATAGAGAGTTAAAACTCTAACTGCCAATTAAAAGAAATTAACAAAAACTTACGAATATTTACAAAACTATTACCTACTGCTAGCCCTATAGCGGGACTGCAAATAGCCCTTAACTAATTTATACAGTGCCCTTGTTGAGATTTTAAATATAAAATGTCGCCATTAAATTGCACACACAGACGTCTTCCTCCTATCATAGAGTTCGAAGTTGTAAAATTAAACAAATTTTATAACATATCAATTAAATATTCAGTGAAAAATATTTTCTTTGTCCTTCAACCGTTAAACTGATTAACTAACCCTTCCTTGAACGAACACTTAACGAGGGCACTACGCCCATATCTATACTTAACTGCCGCGTGCGGTGGGCTTACAAACCCTGTTTATATTAAATCATAATAATATGCTTAAAACAGAACTCAGACTATTTGACACAGTCATCATTTATAATTTACATTTATTATTTATAATACTCCTAATTATAACAAATTAAAACTACAGTAACAGATTAAATCTAAACTTTAGTGATTTGTGTACATTTTTCTAATTATTGTTAATTTGAGTATACTTATAAAGTATTATACGTAAATAAACGTTTATAACTTACTTACTAAACACAATCAGTATCCGTTATCGTTTCTTTGTTAAACATATTACGATTGATAACCGTTTTTAGTCTTATTTTTACGATAAATATTTGATAAATCTAAAAGTAAATGGCAACACTCTACTAATAAAATTCTTCTATTATCATATCATCATCATAAAATGGCAGTATAAGAATAATATTTTTTTTATTAGATACTACTGATAATCACACCTATTTTGATCAATAATAAAGTACGTAAAAGTAATTTTTAGAAGACCAACTGCAGTTGATCCGAAGACCACCATTGTTATATAAATCGACCAATTCTCTACTAATCTAATCAATATGTAATATAAATGCAATAGTACTGAAACATTAAAATGCAACTATCGATAAAGTGAAGTGTAGTTCATCCTACTTTAAATTTAAAGTATATATGGACCTATGTGTCCTCCTAAGCCTCTTAAAGCACTGGGGATTTAGATAAATTAAAAATATGCTTGTTAAAACATAAATATTCTACATATTCACGCCTATGCTGTATGTTATACACATACATATGTATATTAAATAAATATAAATATACACAATTAGACTTTAACTTAATATATTCCAATAAGATATACCTACTTTATAAAGCGGCAATAGAGAATTCCCTTGTTCTGCAGTTCTACTTTTGAGTACTTATACAATATTATTAAGAATTACTTACATTAAGAGACTTAGTACTAGAAGAATATTTTCTTTTCTTTATGTATTCGAGTATGCCTTCAACGGTCCACGGTATCACGCAACAAATGTTACAGGCTGTAAGCATATTGAAGGCGATTACGTAACTCCCCGTGTAGTCTCTAATAAAACCTGAAAGTGACAAAATCTAGTTAAATATCTTTGGAATACATTGACATTTTCCCAAAAAATTATGCAAATAACTATAATGCACATTTAATGTTTTCCGTATTAAAAGTTCATAAATAATATATTATCTCTATACCATTTACATTATTTAAAAATATTCCTATATATACTCCATAGTGTGATAATAGGAATGGCAAGAATATTACCCCAGATACTTCTCAATTAAAAATGAAGTTAAATTTGAATAAACTTTAATTCCAACGAATGTTAAATTTGTTTTTTTTTTCAAACAAAAGTTAGTCATGCATACAGGTAATAGGAAGTGTAGAAAAACTTACCGATCAATGGTCCAATGCTTAAACTGATAACACCAGCTAAAAGCATATAGAGTCCATACGCTGGAGGATATCTCTCTATAGGTAGATGCTCAGCTAATACTATGGGCTGGGCAATATGGACCAGAGACCGTAACGAGCCCAAAATACCAGTTAAGATGAGCAGCGGTGTATAAGTGTTAAATTGGACAAATACTGGAAGAAATATATTTAGTAAAATTAATTTGGGTAAATTATTTCATGATTCACACCAGCAAGTCTATATATTTAAAAAACTCAAACCAAAATCTAGCAATTCTAATTCAAAATCTTTCAATATGGAAAGTATAACTTATTTAAGCATGTTTGCGGAACAGGGTCTCGGACCCACTGGCACCACAAATCTTACCCGTTAATCATGCAAAACATTATTTTGCAGTGGCCACCTACCAATTACTACCTATAATTAAGTAAAATGGTTAAACAGACCCAGGCCATTTAATCGATTTATTCAACAACCGTGGGAGAGCCATGCTCCCGCACAAATGGTCCGATTCAATCGAAACGATACCACATCATTTTGAGCCCCACTACCATATGAAAAGGTAGTAGTCATTTATTCCAAATAATAAAAAAAGTTTGGCAGTATACTCACTTAGCCTAAAGAGGGCTGTTAAGAAGGCGCCAGCGTAGAACATATATCTGGATTTCAGTCTAAAGAACTGACCAGCCACGCCCAGGAACAAACGCGCTGACATATCCGTCGCACCACCCACTGCTATTATACTTGCTATTTCTGACTGAAAAGTAAAATTACATTACGGAAAAATGTTTACACGAGCTACTACAATATTCACTCCTATCATTTTCTTTTTTCATGTACAAAAATTATTCTTGGTTTTACGATTTGTAATGTTTTAGGTTCACCTAAGAGCCCTCTTTTTTACGCTACCTAGAGTTTTTCATTGTTCTTGAAATTTGGGCTATAAAATGTAAGTTCAAAGCATACATTGTAATTTGAAGTATCGTATAATGAAATTTTGTTGTATTCAGTAGAGCAATTCGAAATCTTGAATTAGGACTCACCTTGGTCAGTTGATTTTTGTCCAAAAATAAAGGTTCCACGGTGAAAAATGTGAGATCGGAAAAGAAAGTTAAAGCCAGTCCGAATGCAATGTTTACATAAACCAAATCCTTTAGCAGAGTTAAATCTAAAAATTCCGCTACCGTTTGCCTAAAACCGAGAATACATTTTAGTATGTAATTTAAGTACAGAGTTTGTAAATAGTTATTAGTACATCAATTTTTTGTGTGGTGACGGATTAAGAATACAGAATGTCAAAACTATTCATCCCATGGGTGTCGTAAGACCCCACTAAGGTCAAACTTTGCAGGACAACAGCAATGCAATAAGAAGAAAAACTTGAAAGAAGCCTTCCAAAATCTCCTTTTTTACGAGAGGCCTATGTCCAGCAGTGGACTATTAAATGCTGTTGATGATGATGATCACAACATCAATTTAAACGAACATATTTACATTTTATAGACTTGGTTGATTTAAGACTCAGACATTATTGTAATAAGCTTGTAAGCTAAGTCATCTTCACAATATTCTAAAATAGTATCTGCCACTATTTTATTATACTCTAAATTATCAACAAACTAAATTGTGTGATATATTTAGCTTTTTCATTAATATTAAATTAATTTTAGCATTATTGTATACTAATTTGAAATTCAAGTACTGAAATAAAAATTCTATTAGTTATAATGGAGTCATGACAGCCTTTATTAGATTTGATATTCCCATATATAACAATAATAATTAGAATTCTTTGAACGTATAACAAAATAATTTTGAACAGAAGATGTGTCATTAGGAATACTGGACACAGTAGGCATCTATGTTGAACTATCATGCTCGTTGCAAGGAAACTCTAAGTCATGATATATGATCTAATTAGACCTATATAGAGTAACCTATATTAGCTGACAGATTATTATATATTAAATGAGCTCTATCTTCACAGTCTTATTTTATTATAATTGACACTGTAGAAATCCTTAACAAACTGTCATCAAATCATTATTTGAACTTTGTCTTTACACTCGATTTTATTTGAGTCAGAAAATGAATGAAAATCCTTATAGAAATTTAGTTAGAGGAAACAGCTGCTGCATTTTACTATACCCCTCTCCCCCTTACGGCCTCTCTTTTACTTTCCTCCATATCTGCAATTCCTACTTTTCAAGATTGTTTGTTGTCCTTTTGTGAACTTTCTATTTCTAATTGCATTTGATCGTGAAATATACTTACCATTTTCCTTCCTTGTTTTTTATAATCGGTAATGGTTCCGCGACAATATTGCCAAAATTGCCCAAACTTGACGCAGATGCAGCTTTATACAAGTTTTCTCTGTACACTTCATCACTTACATCAAATTTGCTGTTACATTTCCCATCTGCTGGGATCAAAACCACTGGTATGCTCAATCGCCTGGAATTACTTAATTTAGATACAAACAGTAATTCGTTTCCCTTCCGTGGATTTTCCAAGCGATTGATCCGATATAAATTCTCAATAGATCTTGCACTATCTGACATATCAATTCTGTTTCCGTTTTTGTTGAAATTGAAATTTTCTTCATTTTCCTCCTTTACTGCTGGTGTTGGGGGTATCACTGGAAATGTATGTATTAATTAATGTAACTATACTAAGATACTAAGGTATACTATACTCACATACCTATACATTTCGTCACAACTGACTATAACAAATGTTCAATCTTCTGAAGAAGAAATTAAAATCAACAAAGACTAAATTTTTTAACACATATTAATAAATTTCTTACATTACTAAGCTCACGAGCAAAAGTAGTACAGTATCTATGCCAGACATGAGAATAATCTAATCAATTCTGGGGTGGAATATTAACAAATGAATAAAATATATACTCACAAACAATTTTCTCACAGGCTTTAGGCTGTTTTACCATATGCCATTTCACCGGATGCATAACTAAAGCTCCCAAGATGCTGTGTGCTGATATTGCGCAAAGAATCGCGAGCGTTCCTCTGAATCCATACTCTGTTATCGTAAACTTGATAAATAACGGATAGACCATTGTTATCATGCCAATTGAAGCTTTACACAGACTGATATAGAGCACTTTTTTCTTTGTGAAGTAGCTGTTGAAGCTTGTGTATGAGACAGGTATTAGTAAACCCATTCCCAAACCCTGCAGGAAGCCGTTTGTTATGATCATCTGAGTTGTAGATACGACGAAAATGGCAAAAAATGACGCCAAAGTGTATATGATCGCTCCAATCAATCCAACTTGTCTTAAAGATAATTTCTTCAGTGCTATGTTAGCAGAAAAACCTGAAAGTAAAATAATTACATAGTAAGTATAATATAGTAGGTAGGCAATAATAATTAACATGCCGTAATCTTACAAGTATGGGAAGATGTTAGAGTGCCTTTTTGTGGTACTCCTACTGCGTTTGCCGGCCGTAAAGGAGAATGGCCCATTCATGGTTTCACTTTTAGACGTTCGCGTCATTATATACGTGATAATAATTCGTAATTTCACAAAAAAATATATTGCAATTTAGCAATCTTATTATTTCGTATATGTAGTCATAGTTTGTTTAGTATGTATACTTTACGTGTTAGTTTCCTTAATGTATACATGGTATCCCTGTCAAAAGCACGATGCCACAAACATTATCAAATAATGTCTAACGTCTATGTCACAATATTTTCTCGTTGATAATATTTTCATAATTAATATCTCAATTACCACAAGTTCTGTTACAATATACTTACGTTAATATTTCGTATAATACTCAATGCAAAGCAGACCGTTTTTACATATTTGACAAAGCATAATAGTGTGAAACTAATTTTCACACTGAAATTGGCACTAGCCTTCGTCAAATTTTTCGTTAAACTTCTTTTATGTATAGTCTCTTAATTTGAAGGAATAACCAAAGTTAATAATAATATAGTTATGCTCCTTCACAGTCCGCATCTCTATACTATATTAATACAATAAAGAAAGAGGTCACTTTGCGCGTACAATAAGGATTAAATAAATGAAAAATACAGATACAACACCTGCCAAGCACGTCTTGAACGAGGTTTCTACTTAACATAAAAATACTCTAACGCTTACAAAGAGCATTTAATAAGCGCGCAACAGTAATTTGCTCTTCAACTTTAGAAAGGGGCCTTTGTACGCAATGTAGTTAACAAACTTTATATAGCAAATTTACTAGTTTCTTAACTAACACAAGCAATTTAGCTTAGCAGGAGGGGTTAACGGGAATACTAGTAATTTCGGTTGCTAGTAAACCTATAAAAAAAATGTTGATGATGGCTTTGATGATTCAATTCCCGCTTAGTGCAAATACTTGTACATAATTATATAGATAGTAAATCCTAGTATTTGTATCAGTTTTCTAAAAACCCAACTTTTGGTTAATATGTTGGATATAGTTATTATTATTCTTACAGATAGATGCAGGTTTATAAAAAAGTCTGAATATTCAGTCAGTCGAATCAAATTTGCTATTACATTTTTTATCTGCTGCATTCAAAACTATTTTATTACTCTACTGGTAAAGCAACTTTTTTTCTTTTCTTTTTTAAAACGACATCTCCCGCATTAGGAATATATCCTGTGTCTCGGGGGACTTTACAAACATACATGAAACGGACACAAAGAACACCTAGACTCAGAACAACAATTTGTGGATCACACAACGTGTCGTCCCATGTAGAGATCGGACCCACAACACTCAGCGTAGTAGCAGGAGGCGTGGCGACCGCTTAAACTACGACGCCATCCGTGCAGTCAAAACTTGAAAATATATCATCGCAAATGATTACAAATCATCGTCATTGGCCTTTAATAGTCCACTGCTAGACATATGCCTATAAATAGGTTGTTACAATGACAATATAATCCTTTTTCTATGATTACCGAGTTATTAATTACTTTGCACAACGACCAACAGGTATAACCAGTTATGCTTAAAATGGTGATAAGGGTATTACACACGTCTAGACAATTTATACGTCAATATTATTTAAGTTAAGAGCTTTTTGATTTGTTTAACAAAATAAAAAGTTTTACAACCCGGCACTCTAAAAAACTTAGGATGGTAAGAATATATAAAATAACAGCATAACTATATCTTATTAACAGGATATTATACAGTATAACTATTAAGTTAGAGAAAAGGTTAGCTTACAAATCGGTCTCATATATTTCATAGAGTTGACAAAACGACTTTGTGTTGTGACTATTAATAAAATAAAATATATGAAACTAATTTTAAGATTTCAATACAATACGACACGACACAATAATACACACCTAGTTTTACATAGATGTAACTGATTTATATGATAACCATGAAATAGATTTTTATACCAAAGAACTGTAAAAATTTTGACTGTTACATTAATTCGTTTGAGAAACTTTAGCTATGCAATCAATAGCGTACCTAACTCTGGTATATCAACAGATAATATTGAAAGCAGTAACTTAAATACTAATAAACAATAATAAATCAACTATGGTAGCTTGGTACTCAGTTAATAAGTCTCAAATAGATCATGTTCTTTTTCTAGGTTTAAAAGGGATTCTAAGCGCCCTAACTACGTTTGACAATGTAATGACAAAGACAATGTAAATGTAAGGGACTGCACGGATGGCGTAGTGGTTTAAGCGGTCGCCACGCCGCTTCCTACTACGCCGAGTATTGTGGGTTCAAACCCGACATGGGACGACATTTTGTGTGACCCACTAATTGTTGTTCTGAGTCTGGGTGTTCTTTGTGTCCGTTTCATGTATGTTTGTAAAGTCCCCCGCTACACAGGATATATTTCTAAGGCAGGCGTTGTCTTTTTAAAACAAAAAAAATATAAAAAAAAGCTAACACCATCCAAAGTAGTTGTCAGTTTGTATTTGTAATGTAGTTTTTAGTCATGAGTAGCGGCTATATGAAGAATCTTAAAACAAGTTCTATACAAAATTAGAATTTATTCTGATTCACTTATATCATTACATGAGTGAAAAAGTTGTCTCTCGGAGGGATTTTTTCTAATCACAAGTTACGTCGAACTCCTTGTTCAAACAGGAAATATTACTGGCGACGAACAATGTTAATTGTAGTTTGGAAATAGAACTTATATTTGCTAGTTCAGTAACTTCTTTCTTTTTTATATTGCAAGAGAGAAGAATATCTTGAATGTATTATCTACATTCATAAAAAATATATAATAAGGAATCAGATACTTTACCTGCTATAGCTAAAGTAACTTGGAATACTCCAAATACTACTGTCACTGCTGCTGTGCCTACGCCTAACTCGTCCAAAAAGTCGTTATATATGAATCCAAACACGGGCTGATGAGCCGTGCCGGCGATCTGTAAAAGAACAGGAGATGTATTTTAAAGTAGACATTTATAAAACGAAACGTTATAATTAATAAAAACCAATTATAAGACGGATAATAAAAACAAAGTCTTGCTGACGTATGTATAACCAGCGATTAGTCAATTTAGCTATTTTTTTTTATGTTACACGTTTTCGAGACATTAAAAAACAGAAAAGCTTGTGCAATATACACACAGTAAATACTAACACTAAGAGGAGTGAATATTCTTCACCTACTTATTGAAAAACTTACCATTCAAGAAATGTATTTATTACTAATATTAAGCTTTGAAGTAAATTACCAATGTAAGGCATAATTTTTACATTAGTTAGATATTTTCTTAATTGGTTCGTGCATCTGCTTAAATGCGGAAGCTACACTTGTCAGTATTTAATTCATGCAGCTATTAGCATTATTTTACTTTAGTATTTTACTAATAAATAAAGCCTAACGATTTTTTCAAAGATACAATTTACATTTATTAAGAGTATGAATTGATAACACGTTGCAATGATTCATTTAGTGTATGTTATTATGTAATTTTAAATCAGTTTCCCACAATTCGAAAACATTGTTTGAAGGGATTGTTAAGAACAGTTTTAAGCCCAGAACAATCCATACGTATATTTTAATGTGAAAGTGAGTTTGTTTGTTTATTAAGCTTTCACGCCTAAACCATTATTTTACCAATGGTAACTACATTATCGGCGATTAACGTTGGCTACTTTTTACCGCGATAACCGATAGTAAAATATAAAATTAATATGCCATCCACACCGTATCCAGTGATGGCGAATCCTTCGTCTTCAACCTGGGTTCCCATTTGATGGGTGATATGACTTACAAAACCGAACTTCGTTTTGAAAGTCCGGTTGCATTGCGCACAGCGGAGCTGGTTGTCCGAGTTTAATGTGTAGTGGTACGAGGTCCTAGGTCTAGTTTTGCGCATTTGACGCTTTGTGTCGAGATTATATTAACAGTTCATCACGCTGCTCCCAGCCATCCGTTGGTATGCCACAGGCCGGAAGGTTACGCTTGAAAACGTCTTTGTACCGGAGGTACTGACCGCCTTGTCTGCACTTTCTGCATGTGAGAGCTTACATGCAGAAAGTGCAGGCAAGGCGGTCTAAACGTCTAAAGAATAAAAGATTGCTTTTGGCAACCTACTATCGTTCATGCCTGCTTTATTATGAGTGCTTCTACTCCTGGTAGACTACACGTTTGGAACACGGTCCTGCCATTTAATGCCCAGAAGGGATCTTAGACATTAAAGGTGGAAGCCGCCTACTTTCCTGACATCCGCTTTGTAGCAACATCACATCTCTGCAGGCATATAGCAACGTAGGCAGGACAAAGGCTTTGTAGATCAATAAAAACGCAAATACTAATACTCTAGACGTTAGAGACTCATTGTAATTATACAAGGATCATATTCATAACAAAACACATACAATATTTAAACAAACCAAATGATAAGATGGGAGATCTCTAGAGTCGAGAATTAATCCCTCGATTACTTAGTCGGGTGGTCTTAAATTTTGATTGATCGATCATTGAATTTCTCGATTGCGCACTTCTGATTTTTTCGTCTACGTATTTATAAAAATTGCTTGCTCTAAGTCCGATGACAAATCCCGTGATCCCCTACCATGCGATACGAATCTATTTTAATACCAGATGGACAATGAACTCCGAATGAGAAAACCGTACCCAGGTTATAAGTTGGTCTAATAATTATTTTTGCTTTGATGACAAACAATCTTATAAAAAAAATAGTTAGTCCATTAGCTCTTTCCTGCAACTCCGCCCGCGTAATAAGAATTTAATCAATTCAAGTACCCTCCGAGAACAGTACTATGTATGCAAAAATGTTTTTTTTTATAAAAGCGTTATAAACAAACAAGTAAGCCAACAAAGTCACTTTAGTATTTATACTGGTCCGAATAGTTAAGATAAAGAGAAAGTTGAAGCGAACTTGTCGTTAAAATACGGTGTAGCTTTAACAGAAATTTAAAAAATGTCTATTAGGAACACGTTTAAACTTGGATTCTTGATACCTCATCAGTCTAAATACTACCAAATATAACCTTCATATTAAAATACCTAACCACTTACTAAATGTTGTGCAACATGGCGTAATATATTATAATTCCATAACGAAGTCTCAATTACAAATGATGGTCGTTCGCCTCGGTTAGTCTACTTAATTATATTTTTATATAAGAACATAGAATTTATCAATAAGTAGTATGTTGTGGTTGATTTCTAAGTAGAATATACTTAAATTTTACTTACTATATGCGTTCTTATTTCATATGGGAAATTCAAACACTTACTATTCTACAATTATACGGGTTTACTTTAATATTTACAGTCACTTTTGCACTGCTTCTGTGCAACGCAGTAAATCTTTTATAGTCTTCTTTAATCAATAGGCAATGACATTAACATTGACATTAAGGTAACCCCACAAGATAAAGTCTAACGGGATCAAATCACATAATCTCGGTTCACATCACCTCCAAGTGAGATGACCATACCCTCAAATATTTGGCGCTAATCTGCACGAGTGATGAGACATTTACGAATGTTTAGCATTTTTGGATGCCCGAACAGACAATCCATATTGATAAAACAGTTTTATCATTTGCACGTGTTGTCCAACGCTGCATCCGTCCATGATGATTTGGCAAAACGGTCTCAATAACTGACAGTCATTTCGACAGATGTAGCTTCAGTACAGTATAGCCTCTATCAACTGTCAAAGTTCGGAAGTCGAAATTAGAAGACGCTTTACTTTTACACGACATTTGAAAATAAAAAAACGAGGGATCTTAATAGAATGTATAATGATGATGTGTAACGTAACGATATTTTACCTACTGTTTGACGGTCAACTCTAGAACCACGCGCGCTTATTAGTTAAATCATATATCGTGCGCTTCACCGGTTTCCTGTTACATACTTCCGTCCCTATGAAATCGCCGTCCCGAATGAAAAACACATTTTTTTTGCCATGTGATTTTGATAGATCTTAACTACCACAGTTGCTAAGGGAACTAGTTCACATTAACATAACTAAATGTTTAAATGTTAACGAATATAATACAGGAGAATATTTGAAGAAAAAGATCCAAGTATTTTATATAGCGCGTTGCTAACAATAACATGAATATTCATTAAGTGTTAGTTTGTTGTCCTGTATGGTTAGTTAATATTATTAGTAATCTGGTTTATTTCGTGAAACCAGACTAAAAATAATAAAAGCCTCTATTTTTTTTTTGGTGATCATTAAATTTTTATACAAACTACATTATTGTAATACTCGTATAGCTCAGTTGCCACCAACCAATACGAATGCCCTGTCCATTAAATTATTTTCTTTGGACAGTTCGATAAACAGTCAATTAGTAGGAACCTAATGACACAAAATGTGGCCGATTTGATTAATTATAAAAACTATTTAATTTAGAAGCATTTTTTTTAAATTTAATTTAAATTGATAGTACTAAATTCATTTAATAATTATTTGCATTTAATACTTGATAAACGAATAACGATTTTTATATAGTATGTATTATCTTTTATTTGTTACTTATTAGGAGTAGTTTAATAAGTCCGCATGTGAACACCGCAAGTGCAACGTGTTTGAAACGTCAGGTAATTCATAGAAATTTGATACTTGTTAATCGCGTTAATTCACGTTCGTTAGTGGGTAATATTGTCACCGAAGTTATATGAGCTTTGAAGCAGTTTAATGAGTTAAAGAGCAATGACATCTATCATCCGTGGTCGCTTTCACGATGTAGTTGTAGAACCGACTAGGGTGTTTTAGGCGAACCGTTCATCGGTGAACTATAATTTGTAGAACAGACTTCTTTCGAAGGGTGTTGTCGGCGAACTGTCTATCGGTAAAATATAATTTATAGAACCGACTTCAGACGAAGGGTCTTTTCGGCGAACAGTTCATCCATGAAGGTTTATTGGGCATTCGATTCTGAGCTCAATATTTTAGAGGTTGAGGTAAGAGGGCTTTTTAGCAACAGCCAGTTCCTCAATCCATTCCTATAAACAATATCCCTTTCCTATGCTTGCCTTCTCTCTCTCTCTTATCTAACGTAGATTTTAATATAATCGTAATTTTCATATCTAATCCCTAAAGTTGGCAAAATCACTGACTCGAATGACAACCGATGTGCATTGCCTCCATTTGACTATCCCATTGAATTAGGGGTTTGGCTTCCGGTAACCTCACTCACTCGGTGAAAAGTCATTGTGTGTCATTAATGTAGGATCGACCCGGCCACAGATATACATATATCTAAGGAAGCGATAATCAATTACTGCACCCATCTGTGCAGTCATTAATTGTCGTAGTGATTTAATCGGTCACCTCGCCGCTTGCTACTGCACTGAGTGTTACGAGTTCGATCACCGCATGGGACAACACTTGAACACGTGATTCACAAATTGTTCTGTCTGTCAAGTCTGGGTGTTCTTTGTCGATGTATGTTTGTAAAAATCCCACGCGACACAGGATATACTCCTACTGCGGGAGTTTTTGTTTAAAACAAGTGCACATTCCAATTTATGTGAGTTACCTAACCATTGATCTTAACTGTACGTCTTAAGATAGAACTTCTTCATTACTAGGCTAACCGGTTAGTTATTATTGTAACGCAAAGACATCCTGTCAAAGCCAGTGCGGTCTTATATAACGAATTTATATAAAACTAGCTGTAACTTGCCACGTTTCACTGTGGCACATTGTGGTTTCATTGATGAGAAATAAGAACCAAAACTGACTCGAAAAAGAGATAAAAACATATTTGAAGCGCTTTGTATATAGTGTCAAATTTGAGTTCAACGGGAGCTTATACAAACCGTTCCTTGTCAAGACTTCTGTAAAAATATTTACTTTTCTGCTTATTTTATTGACAGATATTTAGACTATATTACATCCAACCAAAATTACTACCTACATAAGAAGCAAATATATATATTTGCTTCTTATGTAGGTTGTTAAATATTTAAACATAAAAATGTTAAAAGAATTATTTGGACCCCTTTTTAAGCTTTCGTGTACTGTAGCGCAGATTGCTTAACACTTACTAGACAATAATTTGAAGAATTTAACAAAAAAATGCCATCGGCTATGAAAAACTAGTTGTTCAGTATATATTTCGATCGATTATTATTGAATAGTACAGATATGCTATACAATCGCAGTTAAATGTATACTGGTCCTTGAAATAAATTCGAAATTAATGAGGTATGGTCGAAATTCGAGCAACAGGTGAATTCTACTCGTAGTAATCGTAATAATCTAATTTAAATGAAATCGATCTGAATGTGCGAAGTAATAAAATTTGATGACACTTTTGATGTAATTTGATATAATTACTAGCTTTGTCGAAACAGCTTCTAGATTTTTTGTTAGATTGATTTAAGATATGATACGTGTTAATTTTTTTGTGTGTTTTTATTTTTTGTAAAATTCGATTTTTGATTAGGTTTTGTATTCGTACGTAGAGCGTCATTTAAATGGTATAGTTATTTATTTTTGTATTTATCTGTATTAATTTTTCTACTACTACTTTTAAATATGACGTAACCTATATAAAATTAAATTTAATAAAATATATGCAAGAAAGGTAAAAATATTGCAAGATATATTTTAAAAATTCTTATAAATGTTATTATAACATTTAACAATTTCCAATATTATTCTGTAACCTTTTAGATAAATAATACCAATAAAATACTTTTCTTCTTCTTTTTTTACTTATTTTAAATAATAATAAATTTACACATCTCACTGTCACACGTCTGAACCCAAACTATTTATTTATAAATAAATAAATTACACCCAGACACAGAACCAATTTTAATGATCGTTCTCATCATACAATTATTTGCCCTTGGTGGGAATCGAACCCACGACCTCTGGCTTTGCAGTCAGGGTCACTTACAGTAAATCAGTTACATAAATGAATGAAATACGTTCTAAACTTTATAAAGAAAAAATATTATTCTAGTCATGTTTTATTTATAAACTGTCAGACTATTAGGAACGGAACAAGTTTAGTCGACAGGGCATTAGGACACAGCCTCCATCACTGGTAGAGTGTGAATTATTTAGCTCTACAAACACTGGAGAATAAATTTCTAAAACTTATTGAAACTTAATCAATTTCTTAATAAAGACAAACAACTATGTGACCAACCCTATGGTTAGATTATATTATTCGACCAAAAATGTTTATTTTGATACATTTAAAAAATTATATCTGTTACTGTTCTCTTTTAGTATTTTCGAAAAAAACGTATTATAAAAAGTATAAAAATATGCAGTGATAATACTTACAAAAATTACTGACAACCCAACACATACAACATAACCCCACCCTCCCTCGGGAGGCACGTACTCATAATCAACATCTCCGCACTTAACAAAATTTTCTTTCTTCATATTCATTGGCACAAAAACCGTTTGTTACTCTTCTGTACCGGCTTCGTGGGCGGTTTTATAAATCTAGTGTTATCGTCAACTGCACGGAGGCTGTTTACACAGAGCTTTGATTATAACACCTTTATTGAGGGTACGACTTGTAAACAGATTCTTCGGGTTTCCCACAAACACCATTGACAAACAAGGTTATATTATCTAACACACATCTGAATATAGTTCTTTTCAAATAGTTATATTACATTTATTTTTATTTCACCAATAAAGTTCGATTATTCGAATATTTCACAAATAAATTATAAATAAAAATGTAATTGGTAATGATAAACATTTGCAGCACTTGACATTTTACCGAGCATGTAATAAGTAAATAAATTTATTTATTGCCTTTTCGTGTCACTGTACAAATAAATTATTATTTACATGAAAACAAACATAAAACGCGATGGTATACGAACATAGCATCGGACACGTTCCGATTGACTGTTCTCAATGTATCTTTCGTTATGAATCAAATGTATCATTACGCATTCTTTTAAATAGTCCGACGACATCTAAACGCTGATTGTTTTAATTTTTTATTAAGTCCTCGCTCTGAACCTTTTTTTGGGGTCAACAACAATGAAAACTCTTCTAGCTACTATTTTTATACCTGACCTTGTTTATCTTTTAATGATTTTGATAAACTTGTTATTCGATAAGTTGAAATGATGTCAAGATATAACAGTTCTATCATTATTAAACCTACATACATGTAACCTAACACTATTCTACTCTAAGACGTGAATTTGTCCTTTGACATAAAAATTATTTTGTACTGTTACAATTCACTGTCTAAATGTTAATTGCATGTTTTAAAAATATAGATTTCACAGCATAGGACTTGTAAAATCACATTCAGGTGATATATAGTTTTGCTTACACCAACTAGCAAATACTTAAATACCTACCTATGTATGTGTTAGGTTATTTTTTTTTTCGGCGTTTTATTTGTTTTTGTAAAATTTGAAAGTATTTTATGCTACACTTATTTAAAAAACCAACTTAAATTTGTTTTTTAAATACATTTAATCTAAACGAATACATCTAAAAAACACGTGTGTTTTGAAGAAAAAGGACATTTCTGTGTATATAGCTAAATTCATAAAAGTGGATTTTAAAGAATGACGTACAGTGTGAAAAATTCGGTCGGAGTCGGCTAATAGAAAGTAACATGGTAACACTATAAGATAAAAATAGATTGTAAGAAATAAAATTACCTCATGCTAAAGATAAACTTTGATTTATTTGAATATTTTAGCATAAATATGTTGCCAAACTAACGACACGTCAATTTCTGTTTAAAAATAGAAGAAAGTAATCGCGGGAGTGCTCTATGTTCCTAGCTTTGGGATTATCTCTATTTCTCTCATTGAATGGTAAATTGAAATAAAGGGAAAATAAATTTGATAGTTTTTGGTATTTGATCTTTATTAAACTTTTCTACTTCTCCTCAAGTATCACCACTTCACCAATTTTATGGGATAGAGGGCAAGCGCGCAGAGATCCCTACTGATGACCTTTTTTTTTCTTTTCCTAAAAAGACAACTCTCCCTTGTGGAAATCGGACCCACAACACTCAGCGTAGTAGTAAGCAGCGTGTCGACCGCTTAAACCACTACGTCATCCGTGCAGTCAACTGACTGCAACGAGGACTCGGTCAAATTGCTAGCGCACACACAATTGACAGGCGGGACTCGATTCCCTCCCAGCGAAAGAGTGCAGGTACTTCCCCAAGCAGCCGTGCCCGGAGAGGATCTGCGTCAGTTAAAAGTCCCGTGCTGCCGCCCTGCCCACTTAATAATAACCGGCTCTAACGCCTCCAAAGCGATAAAGCCAGCATGTCTAACCTTCAACCGCGACGACCAACGAGCCATCGCTCGGCGAGCGGCTTCACGGCACTCGCGTAGTATCTCCTCGGAAAGTAGGGCTCTCATCTCATCTGTCAAGTTGCATTAAAATGCAACTTATTTAAAAAAAGAAAACCACTACGTTTTCTAACATGACCAATCATAAAACTCAATTAAAATAAATTTTGATCATTACTGTCGTTTATTTTTGAGGTGAAATTTGTCACAAAACAATAATCAAAGTATATAAGTCGTAAATATGTAATTTATTACTTAGTATAATCGACTTTCATTAACAGTGTACCTCAGGGTTATTTTGATTTCTTTATTGTTATTGATTGAGTGAGTTTTTTTTATTAATATACTCACTTATAATTTTAATCAAAAGTAAGAATGTTCCTTATCCTGTTGAAATGCTTTTTCGTGTCTGTAATACGATACACAATTATATTATTAATAGAAAATTGTTTGCTGCAATTTTACTATTAATAAAATAATCTAGTCTGCTGATCTCGTAAAGTGCATAAGTTTTTAGTTATGTCTAAAGTCCAGTTATAGTTATTATTATAGTTGTATAGTAATATGTAAATGAATGTTTGTAATAATTCTGTAAATATGCCTAAATTAATAAATAAAAAATAAATAAAATTTTATCTTCAGATGATCCAGTTACTGTTTTTTTAAGTTCAGAAAAACTTCTAAATCAGTCAATAAAGATATCATCAAAAAGAAAAATATCTACAAAATCAGTAAGTGTGCACAAAATAATTTCTTACGTACATATTACGTAATGTTAAACGTGCGATAATACCTTTTTAATGGCTAGTCGGTGATTTATAAAACTATAACAATCTTACTAATAAACATCGTTAGAAGTAACACTGGTTACGATCAGATTTATTTTGTGTTTACTTAAATAGTATACCTCTTCTCGTATTTATTAGAATAATTTGTTTGTTTACTTAAGTATCGCAAGTCTTGAGCTTGTACGTAGGAATTAGAAAAACATAAAATATATATATCAACATAATTATATACCGAAGTTCCATTCTGTTTCATACGGAAATGAATGGAAAGAATCATAGAAAGATTGGTTTAGAAAATTATTGCCTTCTAATTCTATTTGGAATACGTAACAAACATTTTGCATTGTTATGGTAAGATTGAGTGAAGAAGAAACATGGATATATCATTTATCTTTTTATAAGTATTGTATTTAACGTCGCTCACTGCACTGCAATACCTAAGGCTTTAAAAGATTTGTGATTTCCTGTGAGCAAAAAACGTTCTACTAACAGATGGATACTTCTTAATAACAGTAGTAGAGTGGAGACCTGAAATAATTAACAGAAACAATTAAGGAGATACTACATTTTCGTTCTAGAATTAAAGCTGCAGCGCTTTATTTTCGAATGTTATTTAATACTGTTCTTTTACGAATATTAATCCTCTAAATGACGAACGACGATACATGACGAAGGAATGAAAGATAATGCGGTAAAAATATATTTTTGTGATTTCTTTAACTAATAAATATATATTTTAGTTTGATCGAATGAAGTAAACTTACAACTTCAGCCAATCTTGCTTTTTAGATTCTATTTGAATAAAGTAATTGTTAATTTAGGTAACTTAGCTGAGTAAGATATCCTTAATTTCGATAAAATTGACAATTAGAAAAAGATCTAATATTCTCTGATCTGATCTGTATTTTTAAAGATACATAATATTATCAAATCGTAACATGAATTAACTATTGTAATATTATATACTCGTAAATGGTCAAGATGGACTTCTTTTAACTCCTTTTCCATTGTTTCACGCTGTGCATACGAAAACAGTTCTCTGCTGAGACACAAGCCATATTAAGTAACAGCAATATTGCATTTTTATTATTTTATACATAAATGAAAGAACTCGGAAAAACAGTATAACATGGGTTACATTTTTACCAATCAGCTATTAACACTTTCAACCATCCAGTTAGCACATCAATTATTTGACAATTATGCCTGTCCACAGCTGTTTTATATTGTACTTAAGTTCACCTACATAGCCGGAACGAGCCAACAATATTAACAGTCACTCATAAGTACTTGTAATATGACAATGATTTATTTCCAGTCATTTCGCATCGGTGACCAATGATATCATACAGATTTATAACCTTATTTAGGAGTCGCACACAAATGAATTGACCTAAATGACAATGTACTGACCTAAATGATCCGTAGTTTCTAAAAGACATTCAGAATTTGATTTCTTACAATATCATATTTCGAGGTTATTCCGTCGATGTGATGCAGACGATGACAATGAAAGTACCAGATCCATTAAAATGTTATGACCTATTTGTTTCAGTATCGTCAAATAATGAGACAACATACATTCAAAGACAAGTTTGTGCATGATGATAAATTAAAAAAGAAACGGTGTAGGACGGTGTACTTTTGGACGATAATATGGCACTTTATAGTGTTTAATGTACCACTAGTCAACAGCTTTCCTAAGCTAGTACTGGATTAGGTAAATAATAAACACCTATTGTACTTTTAATCGCTGATACTGAAATGTAACCTAACTCTACGTGTAACCTTTTTGATCAAATTCAAGAAATACCAGTATTTATGTTGACTTCAAAAAATGTATATGTTGTAGATCCGTAGTAAAACTTTTTACGCTTTAATTTCATTTACAATACTCCTGCAAATAATAAAGCCTTCGTCGCACATGCAAATTCCACTATGCAAATATACATTTTCAAGTGAAGTAAAGAGTAAGTTACACATGGTTGAATTTTTGACAAATAATATTTTTATTTCATACTTTCATCACTTACAATGAATGAAACTTACAAAATACAGACAACAATTATTACACAAGCTACCATTGCTGCGAGCTGATGCGCATGGCGATTGCTCGTACCCTCAAATATGATTTTACTCGTATTGCGTCATTATTAAGTTTCTACACATAAAATGAAGATATTAAATATGTAAGAGACTTGCTTTAAATAAATAGTGCTGAATGACTTTAGCTGTCACTTTATATTGTTGTTAAAAGAAAAAGAAAATGTTGTTGGTAAAAGTAACGATCTATATTAATAACGATCTC